TGTTTATGATGCAGTACCTTTCCCTTTGCTTGACTTTTGGATATGGCAGGATTTAAGCTGTGTGCTAGTTAGAGCAAAGGGAACAGGAATGGAAGGGGATTCTCTCACCTGTCAGTGTCAGAAAGAATGTTTGTTGGTGGACAGGATTAAAGTGAATCTGTGTAGTGTATTATTGGGTCTGATTTTCACTACTAACAGTAGACTCCAGTCTTCATGTTAGTAACTACAAAAAATACAAAAAAAAAAAAAAAATTATAAGCCAAGTGGACTTTCTGTAGCCTTGTCTATCTAATGTATCACAGTAATTTGTGACCGAATGGTGTTTTTTTTTGTTTGTTTGTTTGTTTTTTTTTTTTTTTTTTTTTGGTATTGTCTTTGTTGATCTTCTAGGTTATCAAGGAAACAGAAAACTGTCAGTGTTTCCTACTAAAGTATGAGAATGTGACTCAGAGGGCCTGGCAAGTCTGTGAAATCCTGGGTTTGAGCCTCAGTACCACATAGAAGGTATAACAACACATGCCTATAATCCCAGCACTAGAGATGTAGAGACAGGAGTCAGAAGTGCAGTGTCATCTTTAGCCTCATTAGTAAGTTCAGAACCATCCTAGGATACTTGGTCTCCAAAACTTCTTGTATGAATTTCCAAATGTTATTTCTGTTGATCCATAAGAAAAAATCCTTTGTCAGATTAAAGTATAGCCCTAAGACTGACTGGGAAAATGTGGCTTTTATCTCATATGTAGACATGGTTTTGGTTATGGAACCCAAACAATATGTTGTGGTAATGATGGTTTTTTTAGGGTTTTGTCATTTTATATTGGCACAGGGTCTCACTATATAGCCCAGGCTGGCCTCAAACTCAAGATCGTCTAGTCTTAGCTCCATAGTGCTGAGAATACAGGTGCCGCCCCCCTCCCCAGGCTCAAGAATCCAGGTTTCAAATGCACTTGATGGTTTTATCATTCAGTCTTTAGACTTATCTTGTCTAAATGAAATCCAGAAGAATGCATTGCTTTCAAACATAATACTTCAGTATCTTTGGAAATAAGCACTAAAAAAACAAGCAAACGAACAAAACCAGCTGCATACCACCAGTGCAAAGCGCTTGCCCCTCTCTTTCAGCCAGATTGTTTCTCTCCACTTAGTTTATTGAGTGAGTTGAAGGAACCAGTTAGAAACATTCTTGCTGGGCAGTGTTGGCACACACTTTTAATCCCAGCATTTGGAAGGCAGAGGTAGGCAGATCTCTGTGAGTTTTAGGTCAGCCTGGTCTACAAAGTGAGTTCCAGGACAGCCAGGACTACACAGAGAATTCTGTCTCAGAAAAAAAGAAAAAGGAACATTCTTATTCCTTTAACCCTTGCCCTGAATGTACTTTAGTACAGCAAGGTCCCATATGCTGTTTACTTAGAGCAGCTGTTCTCCACTTGTGTGTCTTGACCCCTTTGATACTAAATGTCCTTTTACGGGACCTAAGACCATCGGAAAACATATTTACATTATAATTTATGACAGTAAAATTACATTTATGGAGTATTATCAAAATAATTTTAATGGTTGGGGGTCGCCACAACATGAGGAACTATATATATTAAATGCTCTCAGCACTAGGAAGGTTGGGAACCACTGACTTAGAATGTAGACAGCTACAGCTTTACTAAATTGAAGACCTCTTCTGTCATACTGTTCCCAGCAAGGAGTTCAGCCTGTGACTGCACTTACTGTGCTAATCACTACTGTCAGTGTCTCCTTGTCCCTAACTGTATGGTTTGTACCATCACACTGTTCATTAAAAAAGAAAGAAAGCTTACCTTGTGTCTAGATGGTCTTTAGCATGTGGTATAACCCAAGAGCTTTGAGAATCCCTTTTGCTGTTTCTCTTCACAGGCAAACTAGTGTTGCTGTGAACAGAGTCCAGTTAGATTCGAGTATGCTATATAATTACTAAGAACACTTGATTGAAAAACATCACAAGCCAGGCATGGTGCCATTCCCAGCACTCGGGAGGCAGAGGCAAATGATGTCTGTGAGTTTGAGATCAACCTGGTCTACAAAGCAGGTTCCAGGACAGCCAGAGAAACCCTGTCTAGAAAAAAAAAGGAAAACTCAACAGTTTTTTTTTGTTTGTTTGTTTGTTTGTTTTTGTTTTTCTCTCCTGGCAGTAAGTACTAGAGAAAGGAATACTAATTTCTCTAAAGCATAAAGAGCTATTAATATATACCTTGGCCAGTATGCTAACATTCACAGCATTACTGCGGTAGAATATGCCTATCATATTGCATAAGGCTTTAGGTTCAATTCCCAGTAGTAAAAAGAAAAATTAGAGGCATGAGTACTAAAAAACAGATTTTGATGCTTGTATTTTAAGCCGATACATATGTATGTAGGAGTAGGTGTGAGTATATGTCTAGAAATGGGTAGGAAATGGGCTATTTTCTCATGTCTGTTGGAAACTAGAGTCTATGCATGAAGTCATTTTAGAAGCAGCCTGCTTTGCCCTCCATTGTAAATGAATGGTGCAGAAGGTGACCTGCATTTGACTGGTACCAAGACATGAGCATTGATGCGTCCTGCTTTCACAATAAACTGTCACCACTTAAATTTTACTAGTGCCAGGTGGCTAGAACGTGCAGTTGACTCTGTTCTCCAGCTTAATGTCTGTCTTCCCTGGGATGAACCACTACTCACTATCTGCTTGGGAAACCTCTGTGACTGGTGGGACACACTGAGGCTTCAGGATTTAGCATGGTAGGAAAAGCACAAAAGCTGTATGTTGTCAAGTTTACTAGGAAATGGATTTGGGATTTATCTTTAATTTGAAAAAATGACAGAATCCATTTACAGATTTTTTTTTCTTGGACATATATAGTGTATTTTATTATGGTGAGGTTAGGTATACAAAATAACATTGATGACCTTTACACAGCAGATCAATCAGTTAAGAGGGTAGAGTGGTGGAGAGACACCCGTCACAGCTTACTTCCACCCCACTGCTATCAGACATGATCATGTAGGCTGTTGCAGCTCAACACAAGGATTTCTCAGCTACTGGCATCTCCCTTACTTTTGCAAGTCACCAGAAACTAACCTTACTGTCTCGCCCCCCTTCCCCATCTTTGTGTCTGAAGACCATCAAAAAGAGACAGATTCCCAATTGCCTACACCTGGAAGCAAGCCTGCCTGAAGTATGTTCCCCCCTTAGCCCAGAGCAAAGAGAAGGTGAGAGACCAAGATTCCATTGCCAATGGCTGTCACTCTTCCAGGCTTAGCCAGGTTGCTAATTTGGGACTTGAATTTAATTACTAACAGGCTTTAAAGTGGCTTAGAATCAGGTGTGACCCTGATTCCACCAACATGCCAAAAGTTGTTTCAAAAGTCCCATTCTGTTGTCTAAATGGGGGTTTTCATTTTTGTGTGTGGAACTGTAAAGGTGCATTGAGGTACTTTGGGAAAAACATTGAGATCCTAGCTCACATGTTCATCTTAAGCTGGAAGGCCTTGCTGGAAGTCTTGTGACGCGGGAGTTGCCTCAGTTGACTTTTTTTTTTTTACACTTGTATGTGTGTGAGTATTTTGCCTGTATGTATGTATGAGCACCACACTCAAGTAGTGGCTCCAAGACCAACAGATGATGTTGGGTGTCCTAGGACTGAAGTTAAAGATGGTTGTGAGCTGCCATGTGGGTGCTGGGAATCAACTGTTACTTTGTTTTGTTTTCCTAAACAGGGATTCTCTGTGTAGCTATGACTTTTCTGGACCACGCTGACCTTGAACTCAAGAGTTCACCTGCCTTTGCCTCCTAGGTGCTGGGATTAAAGGCATGAGCCATCTCCAGCTCCCTGGATGATTCTGTTCCAGGATACTGACTATCCCAGTGGGACCATTCTACAGCATGCATTAATTGAGGTGAATGTTGGGCTTACTTTGTACTTGTAGTCATTTCTCCTGTTCCCATAGTGTGCAGAGACTAAGGAAAAATAACCAGTGTGTAACAAGGTCAAATACAAACACATGTAAACTGGGTTTTCTAGGCAGCAGCTTTCTTGCAATGAAGGGTAAAGGAAGAATGAACTACAATAAATGTGGCAGACAGACCTGAGTTTTCTTACAGTTTTGATAGTTTTTAATCTACTTGAGGTAAATGAACTGCTAGCTATGAGTATGCATAAGTGTATTGTCTACATGCCTGCATGTATGTGTCCATGTGTGGACACCAGAGCAACTTCAGGTTCTCAGTCACTCCATATCCACTTTGGTTTTTTGAGACAGGGTCTCTCATTGACCTGGAACTCACAGATTTGCTATTCTGACTGTCATCTGTCTCCACCTCCCCAGTGTTGGGGTTGTAGATACAGGCAAACAGGCCTGCTTTGTCTTTGTTGTTTTGTTTGCTTGCTTGTTTTTGTTTTGTATGTGTCTGAGAAATCAAACTCAGGTTCTCATTTTACCAACTGAGCCATCTCCCAGCTCTCAAGCTTTTTCTATGTAAAAGGTTTCCATGTGAATTGAGCATGCCGACAGCTGAGAGCTTGACAGAGACTCAGTAATGGCTTGTTACATGCCAACACATTCCACAGAGAACTGGAGTTGCATAGAGGACTGACTTGGAGTCATTTTGCCTATGAGAAGAAGAGTGTTCTTCCTTGGCTTGTGTGAAGGAGACTGGAAAAAGAAAAACCATTGAAACTACGTGTTTTAGAATAAGTAGAAAACAGCACTTAAAGACTGCTTCCCATGTGGAAAGCTGCTGTGTCCACTTTTGCTCTTTACACAGCAGCTTTGTAAGCAGATGAGATGGTTCTTAGAGCTGGGAATCAAATCCAGGGCTTGTGCGTGCTAGGAGAGTGCTCTATCTGAAAGCTACAACCCCAGCTATGTTTTTCTCAGACAAGATTTGTTGTGTATAACCCAAGCTGACTTTGAACCTGATCCTCCTGCCTCAGCCTCCCAAGTGCTAGGATCACAAGTTTGCTCCACTGTGCCTGGCAGTGCTCAGGTCTTCAGTGGGAGCATCTGGGATGGGAGAGCTGAGCTTGCCTCTTCAGCTTTCTGTCCCTTCCCTGGCTCTTTGCCACACTGCACAGTGAAGACTTGTGGCTGCCCACCGACTGTGCTCTGCCTCCTGCCTGGACTCTCATCACCATGCAGTATTGTTCACACCAAAGAGACAGGTGCTGGGTCAGCCTCACCAAGCCAACAATCAGGGCCCCACCCAGCAAAGTCAGTAAAGGCCAAAACAAGCAATGAAAGACAACCTTGGGGCCAGACTTTCTCAGGACAACTCCCAGCTGTCCATCAGGACTGTAGAAGCAAGTGAAAGTTCCATTTCTGTGATCGAAGAATTCCTTGATGTCCCAGACACTGTTGAGCAGATCATCCCTGTCTCGGTGACACTTGGGTGTGTAAAAGCACTGGGAGATTGGAGGAGGGGAAAAGCAGTATCAACAGTGGCCAACACCGGGGGCTTTAGGCTAATGTTATGGTGGGAGACATGGTATAGAACATGTCATCTTGCATAGTGTGGAGGGAAGGGAATGGTTGGCTGCAGGGTACAGAGTGAAATGACCACATCTGTTAGCTAGTGTGCTATCATGTGGAGGGGACTACTGAAATGCGAGGCATGGAACAAGGGAGATGGCTCAGCAGCAAAGGTGCTTGCTGCCAAGTCTGAGGTCCTCAGTTCAGGGTCACATGGTAGGAGAGAACTGATGCCTGTGTATTATCGTCTGACCTATACACGCACTCACACACTTTAATGTGTGACTTTAGAAATGACTACATCAAAAGTAGGAAACCAGAAATCATTAGATTGCTTAATTACCAGAACACTGTTAGAGTATACTAGCTAATAGAACCTTTTAGTTAAGTGTAACTGAACTATAAGTCATATGAACCAGTGATGTAACTTATTTCAGTTATTAGTTCTTTAAATATCCCCATAAAGCAGTGGCACACGCCTTTAATCCTAGAACTCAGTAGGTAGAGGCAGGTGGATGTCTGTGAGTTCAAGGCCAGCCTGGTCTACAGAGTGAGTTCCAGGACAGCCAGGGCTACCAGAGAAATCCTATCTTACACCCCCACCCCCCCCCCAAAAAAAAAAAGAACTACCAGCTTGGCTGAAGGAACACTGAATTCATTCATTCTAACTAGGACTGCAGTGTGGAAACACTGCCCACTTAGGACACACCGAGCCAGGAAACTAGAATATGCCTCTCCTTCCTACATGCCCTGTTTGTCCTCCAAGACTGCTACCAGAGGCATTTATCATGATGGAATACTATGAACGTTCAGAAGGGGCTGAGGCTTTGCTCAGTTGGTAGTCTTTGCCTAGCATATACAAAATCCCTGATTCAATCCTTAGCCACTTAATAACAAGGTGTGGTAATCCCAGTGCTTGGGAGGAAGAGCTAGATGATTCCAAAGTTCAAAGTCATTTTCAGCTACATAGCAAATTTGGGAACATCCTGGGCTACCCCCCCCCCTCCCTCCCTTCCTTCCCTGCCATCTCTCCCTCTCTCCAAAAAACAAATGTTCTCTAGAAGGAACTGACTTCCCACAGATAGCTTATTCCCCACTCAGGACAACACTATGGAAGGGTAGCAGAGAAAACTCTGAATTGTCAAATCCATGTTACCTTGGGGTTGGTTCTGACCGCCTCATCATCATAGTGGAGAAGAACTTTCTGGCCTGAGTGAGTGAGGTTTACAAACACCTGCAGACAGGGATACCTGCTGTGATCCTGGAAGCTGCCCTCACAGGTGAAAGCAAAATCCAGCCAATCATCTGCAATGTGTGTGTGGATGGTGGTGCAGTTGGACTCTTCTCTGTTAGAGCTGTGAAGTTAAAAAGAAGTGGTCTTCCTAAGTAGGGATGTGAGGGTCTGAAAGCAGCTATTGGAAAGTCAACCTCTGCCTTCTGAGACACACACCTCAGCACAAACATCACAGTGGGGCACACAGATGGGAAAAGAACCAGGTGTCAAATGCCTCTGGCCCTTGGAGGTGTATCTCACCCACCAGCCCTAAAACAACACTGTCAGACTACAGATTGGCCTGAATGAGTTCACTTGTTAGCGTCGTTAAAGAGTGGGCTGCAGGGGTTCCCTCCCAGAGATTCTAGCTCAGGAGGTCTGAGCTGAAACCTGAGAATCTCTATACAAACAATAATTAAGATGCAAATATTAGATGGGTAGTGGTGGTGCACGACTTTAATCCCAGCATCTTTGAGGCAGTGGCAGGCAGATCTCTGTGAGTTCAAGACCAGCCTGGTCTCAGAGTGAGTTCCAGGACATCCAGGACTGTTATACAAAGAATCCTGTCTTGTCTCCCCCACCCTCAAAATGCAAGTATTAGGAAAAATGAACTAAGTACCATTACCCTAAATACTGTGCCACCAAGAATCACATTTGGATAACCCAGAATCCCTCATGCCATCTATTTTAGAGGTATATACCAGCTTCCTGGTGAAAGTGGGCCTTTGGAAGGGCTCTGGCAGTGTGGCTGGTTTTGCATCCCCACCATACTTCTAAAGTTAGAAGCAGATGTGTTGAGATTGCCACTGGGAAACAAGGCTGGTTTTGTAGCAGTGAATTCCTTAGAGTGCCAAGCTACATCCTGTTCTTCATGCTCCGGGAAGTGTGACATGATGGCACATGCTACAAGCACCATTACATTGGACTTGGCTACGTTTTCTTGGGAAACATTTCTAAGCGCTTGTCATGCCATATACAGATAATACCTTGGTTACTATACTAGTTACTCCTTTGTTGCTATGATAACACTCCATGACCAAAGGCAACTCAAGGAAGCTAGGGCTTATTTTGGTTTATGGATCCACAGGGAAGAGTCTGTCATAGCAAGAGGACATGGCAGTATTAGATGTGAGAAATTGTCTTGACTGATGATTAATGTTGGAGGACCCAGCCCACTATGAGTAGCACCATCCCTAGGCAGATCGGTCTGGACTGTATAGGAAAACTAGTCAAGGATGAACAAGCAAGCCAGCAAGCATCATCCCCTTCATGGTTCCTGCCCCCATGTTCCTGTCTTCAGTTTCCATCCTGACTTCCCCCCAATAATAGATTCTAATCTGGAAGCATAATCCAAATAAACTCCTTCTCTAAGTTCTAGAAAACTAGAACATACAGACATCTAAGGAGACAAGGCTCCATGCCTGTCTATAAGGAAGATTCTAAATTGGAACAGTTGAAAGAAAAGACCCACCCTAGCTGCCAGGATCCTGGGCTGAATGAAAAAAAAAAAATACAAACCAACTCATCCCTCCTTTTGCCTATGCCAACCCACCGTGTTGGCGTGTACACTCAAAGTGGAAGCCAAAATAGATACTTCTTTGAGTTGCTTCTCCTCAAGTGTTCGGTCACAACATGAGAAAAGTGACTAACAGATTGCTCCCATGGGCCCCTCTTACATAAGGCAAAGTGGGCAGGACCCTTACTACTTTTTAAAGCAGCACTGTATAGACTCGGTGCTTCCTACCACACTCTCAGCCATAAACAATCATTTTCCTCTACAACAAATGGAAGGTATGGAAATGGGTGTGTGTGCTGGCATGGAGCAGAAGCCACAGTAAAATGCTGTGGTGGATAACAGCAGGCTAGGAGGTGCAAGACCTCAGATCACACGAGCCAAGGAGTATGGGCAGCCTCTGGGAGGAGGGACCAGGTGCCTCTATAGCACTTAGAAGATGGTTTAGTCCAGCTGATACCAATTGGAGAAACAGGTCACATTTCTGAACTCAAGAGCTATGAATTGCCAACTGTTTAAAGTCACCAAGTGCACAGTGTGCCATTATAGCAGCAACAGGAAACTATACAGCTGCTCTGGAAATGTCCAAGTGACTGCAAACCTGAAGAAAAACATGGTCACTAGAAGTAGCCTAAGAAAACTGTTAGGCAAGTGAAAAATTACAGAAATGAAAAAGTACTTGCATCTGTGAGACAATAAAGGCATTTTCCACATGAAGCTTGACCACTTCAGTGCAGTCCCCAGACCCCTCATGGTGGAACTAACTCTTAATGGCAGCCCTTAGACAGGAGTAGGGTGCACACGTGCATGCATACATGTGCATGCGTGCGCACGCGTACATACACACATAAAGTCAGACATGAGTGTGGCACACATGCACATACTAATGAGCATATTTTAAATTTTGAAACATGTTCTTTCTGAGCTCTAGTTCTGGCCTGCCTGCTTTTCTGCCTATCTTTTGAAACAGCATCTTGAGGAAGTGCTACTAATAGCTGTCTGATTATCTGTTGACGTGTAAGCTCTCTGATTCCCATGTGCTGTTGTGACCTGGCTGTCTCTCAGGGACCTCAGAGAGATGCATAAGAGAGTGCTCCATGCACAAGGGCCAAGCTTGAACCCCTGAGGTACAACTACGTGTATTAGGACTTAAAAACCATGGTGTTGCTTCCATAGCTCCGTGACCCTTTACATGTGTCCCTCCCTATATTGTTTGAGAATTTCATCTATGTACATAATGTGTTTGATCAAAGCCAACACCCTTTGCCTTCCCATTACCCCCTACCACTTTTTCCTCCTAACTTTGGGTATTTGTTGTTTTAACCCAGAGTGTAGGGCCATCTAGTGGAGCATGGATAACCTCCCAGGGGTAGAATCCCTGAAGAAACTGACTCCTTCCTGCATCAGCTGTCAGTTGGCAATAGTTCTTCTGATAAGGGTGCAACTTCTCAAGTGTCTCCCATCTGTGCTGGGACTTTTCTGGCTTTGATTTGCAATACTCTGTCCCTTTGACTAAAAGATGAGGGGTGGAGAGAAAGGTGTGAGTCACCCTAGAAATCTTAACTGCTGTCTTTTAGGGACCGCTCCCTTAGATGGTGAAGAATGATAAGGTGAAGCAGAAATGAGCACTGACTGCTCAGGCAATGTCCTCACAGCTCCCATTAAGCAATTTCCAGAAATATTGGCAAGTAAAACAAATATGGGCCGCAGACATCCTGCTGCCATCTCCCCAATGCATCCCATGTTTAAACAAGCAGTCTGGGGGGCGTCATAGATGACACAGCAATTAAGATCACATACTTGCAGAAGACCCATGTTTGTTTCCCAGCACTCTTCAGTCAGCTCAAATCCCTTGTAACTCCAGCTACAGGGAACTGACACCTCTGGCCTCCATGGGCACACACACACACAAATGATTCAAAACAAAAGTCTAAAACCACTTCTGAGGCTGTCAAAATGGCTCATAGGGGAAAGGCACCCCACCAAGCCTGAAACATGAGTCCAATCCCTCCAACCCACAAAGCTGAGAGAGGGAACTGACTCCCTAAAGTTCCTTAACATGGCTAGCTGGTATGCTCTAACTCTCTGCCTCTGCTCTCTCCCGCTCTTCCCTTTCCTCCCCTCCCCACATCTTCCTCTCTCCCTCTTTCTTAATCTGCGCATATGAACAGGGTGTGTGTGTGTGTGTGTGTGTGTGTGTGTGTGTGAGTGAACACCCGTTTATTCAACTCACATAGACATGTGCCTATTTTAAAGTTAAGAGAAAATGACTAACAGGAAAAGGAGAGAAAGCTGGGAAGGAATCCCAAGGAAGAAATACAAATGTCTAACTCAAAGGTCACACAATCCCTTATGGTTACAAGAATGACCTGGGCTTAGAGCATCCTAGTAGCCACTGCAGTTAGGGAGCAAGCAGATATAAGATTCCAGTAAGTTACCTGGCAGGGAGAGGTTTCTCCTGGTGGGGACAGCAGAGAGAAAGCTGGGCTGGCATCTACTAGCTGGGTGCTTTTGTGCTACCAGCCATGCCCGTCTCATCTGGCAATAAGACTGCAGCAGCATGTGCTGTGAGTGTGGGGTAGCTAAGGAATGCTTCACACCTCCTTCTCCACCCCACACTGTCTCCAGCATGCGTGGCAAGCTCAGGATGTGCAAGGAGTATGGACTCCACTGCTGGGCTGAGCCCATCTTGGAGCTCTGGGTCTTGGCCTGTGTCTCACCTGAGCATGAAGGGCTTCAACACAGTGGTCCCCAACAGGAAGAGCATCAGCACGGAGGAGGCCATCATGGCAATACCCAGCAGCATGGCACGGTCCTCTCCAGCACTTGATGGAAGCTTTGGGTGCACCTTTGGTAGGTCTCCATTGCTTTTGCCTGAGGCTGGAAGTGCTGTCCTTTGGGGTGGGGTGGGGGAACCAGAAAGATGCTGTGTGAGTAAGAGTGCTGTCATTTGCCATGTGACAAACCTGAGTCTGGCTCACTCAGTCATAAGCAGCTTCCTGCAACACCCCAGATTCTACACTCAGAACTGAGACTGGTACCATCAAAATAAACCAATATTGATATGTTGTCAAATATTTTTAAGATATAAAAAACTGGGTGTGGAGTAGTTTACATTATACAGGCAAAGCATCGTGTGCTGCTTAAGCTTGCTGGAAGTAGACTCTGAGAGCAAGGATGGCCCTTCTCCAAGACTACAGTGGGGTTTTGTTTGTTTGTTTGTTTGTTTGTTTTTGTTTTGTTTTGTTTTGTTTTGTTTTTGTCATGTACACTCCAAGACTTCTTGTCCTGGGTCGGGCTGGTCCCCAAGTCTGTGTCAGAGAAAAAGGAGGGTGGCAGATAAGTAGGAGTGCAAAACAAACAAACAAAAACAGTGCACAGCTTGGGTCTAGGGGAAATGGTAGTAGTTAAAGAATTAGAAAACCCAGTTCACATTTCCAGACCCCAGGTGAATTCCTTGGTAATCATGACAGTAATCTATAATTGCAGCCTGCGGGATGGTGATCTCAGAGCAAGTAAGTGATCCATAGGAGTACCATATCAGTAAGCTCTGGGTTTGACTGAGCAACCCTGTCTCAATGAATCCTGTGGAAGAGCCCATCTGGAATGATTCAGGGCATCTGTCTAGTGCCTCCACACACATGTGCACACACATGTATACCACACACATGTATACCACACATACGTAGGAAGATAAAAACAAACAAAAATGCAGCCCCAAGAGTTGCTGAAAGGTAAAACCTTTTCAAAGGAGGTTGCTGTTGTTTGTCCCATCACATAAAAAATGCCTGCAGTGGGAACCAGAGGCTGGAAGAGGAAGAAGAGAACCCTGCCCTACCTACTGGAAATCTCCCAATCTCAGCTCCCAGCATGCTTTGAACAGGGCTTCCTCTGTCCTCTCTGCCAGATGTTATGGACCCCTGATTGGATGTCATAAGCCACTGGTTAAATGATTTTTTCATCTGTTTCTTGCTAGTTGTTCTTTGACTTTTCCTTGCAACATGCATAATAAACTCACTCATTTAAAAGTGAAAGTGTGGCTATCTTGGATTATTCTCCCTGCAGAACACAAGATGGTGAATGTCTGGGAGCCCAGCACTCAGGAGGTGGAGGCAGAATAATCAGGAGTTCATGGTCAGCCTTGGCTTCATAGTGGGCTTCATAGTCAACCTGGGCTATATGAGACCCTGTATTTAAAAAGGGGTCAGCAATTAAGAGTGCATATGCTCTTGCAGGTACAGTGTTGGACTCCCAGCTTTACATCAGGTAGCTTACAACTGCCTGTAAGTATTGTCAGGGAGTCTAACACCCACTTTTAGACTTCACAGACACCAGCACCATAGGGATACATGCATGCATGTGTGCACCCGCGCGCGCGCGCACACACACACACACACACACACACTTTAAGTGCTATTTTTTAAAAGGAGAAGAAAGGAATGAAAGGAAGAAGAGATTGTAACAAGACTAGGGACTTCTGTGCCTGGTGGCACTCAGTAGAGTCATTGTATCCATGACTAGAACCAAATCACCTGGGCATGGCTTTCGCTTGTCACCTACGATGCATGTTCTGAACCTGCTTGTCTTCCAGTGAATGCTGTGGCCTTTCTGAATGTGGTTTCTCTATATTCTCATGAATTCTGCCTGAAAATCACAACTGCAAAAGCCACTTTTGGGGTGAGTGATGAGCTTCGTCAGGAAGTTGCTCTTGTTGCCTGCCCCTTTCCCTAATTACCTGAGTGAGAAATCATGCCCTTAGTCTGGTCTACTGCCCACAGGTTCAAGGTCCCTCTCCCTCTCTCTCCTCACACCATCCCTCCATCTTTGAACAAACACATGCTCCTCTCCACTCTAACATTCCTTCATCTCCTCTCCTAGGAGCTGAGATGAATCCATTCATCTGCTGAGTGCTGAGGCCATCACAGTCACACACAGTGGCAGCCATAGACATCATCCAGCCAGGCATGTAAGCATATGCTTGGACTTTCTGTTGTTTGTTTATGTTATTATTTGCTAACACTTTAAAATCATGACAGTTCTCATTAAAATGCTTATCGCTGCCTTTGAAAACATCACAAGATCCACATTCCTGCCTTTGCACTGTTGGCCAAGCCATACTGGCTTCCCTGTAATCAGGTCTGTGCCCTCCCTTTGCCACAGTCCTTTCACTTCCCAAGGTCAGCAGCCATTCATTTCCATTGCAAGAGGCTTCAAGAAATCATAAACCAAAGACATGCAGCTCCAAGTGTAGAAACTCGGGCTCCATCGGTCTGCTGAGAATGTTTATGAAGTTTGGAGCCAAGAAAAAGTCCCATGGACGGAATTGCCAGTTGTTTTTTGTTTGCTTGCTTGCTAGAAGTGGATGCCATACTTGATCTCATCCCTTGCTGCTTCCTATGCCTTCTCTCCACTGGCACGCAAGACTGAGGATGGAGAGCCCAGGCTAAGAATAGCATCTGTGTCCCCATGGCTGATACCACTGTGGGTCCCAGCAAGACTTGCTGTGAGAGGGGTTTTGTTGTTGTTTTGCATTTATTTTGCGTAATGAGGGGCTTGTGCACACACACTATGGCTCTTGTGTGGAGATCAGAGGACAACTTGCAACGATCAATTCTTTTCTTCTGCCACATGGGCTCTGGGAACTGAATGCAGGTTATCTGGTGTGGTGTTAAGCACTCTTTCCCACTGAGTGATTTTGACAACCATGCTTGGAAATTTTTAAGTGTGTGTGTGCGCGTGCGTGCATGCGTGCGTGTGTCTGTCTGTCGGTCTGTCTGTCTCTGTGGATGTGACAGCATTTTGGTACACACATGTGGGATCAGAGGCCATGTCTCTTCCCTTCATTTTTTTTTAACCACTGTATATGCCAGGCTAGAAGCCTGCCTTGCCTCCTACTTCACTATAAGAGCACTGGGATTTCAGACACTGACCACTGGACTTAGCTCTTTTGTGATTTGAATGCAAATTCTTATGCGTACAGAGCAAGTGATTTGTCCACTGAGCTATCTCTCCAGCCCTCTCCACTTTCTGCTTTGAAACATGGTCTCTCAATGGGACCTGGGGCTGTGGCTCCTCAATTGAGCTAGGCCTGCAGCCAGCAAACCCAGAGATCCTACTGCCTTGGCCTCCACCAGTGTCTGACTTTTTGTGTTCCAAGGGCCAAGCATGGGTCCTGGTGCTTTCAGGGGAAGCACCAACTGGGCCATCTCCCCAGCTCTGCCTATGGGGCATCTAATAGACTCAATGCATACACCCATTTAAAATGGCAAGCTGCAGGAAAATGGTCTGATAGGTCAGATTCTGATCATCCTGGGCCAGACATGCCATCTCTTCTATTTCTGCCCACCTTATACCAAGTATTTGTGGGAAACTGACAGCCACAGAGCTCCACTGTAAGCAAGTGACCATATAGAGACATCGATAATGTAAAGTCATGAAGATAGCCATATGGATTCTCTCTAGAGAAGACAGTTCATGAGTACACAGAGGACATCGGGGAAAGGGGAACTAGAGTACTGTCTGCAGTCACCACATCGATTACCTGATGGTTGTGAAAGGAACGGGCTTCTAATTCAGCCAAGTGGCAAACTGCCTACCTACTCCAACTGAGCACACTGTCAATGTTGGAAAGCTTAAAAATAAGGAGAAATCCATAAAGGACTAAAAGTACCTGAAAATGGGAACAGTAGCCTGGGCATGATGCCATAAATTTGAGGCTAGCCTGGATAAGACTGTGTTTTCTTTAGAAGGAGGAGGATGAGGAGGGAGGTGGAAGAGGAAAGGAGGGGGAAGGAAGGAAGGAAGGAAGGAAGGAAGGAAGGAAGGAAGGAAGGAAGGAAGGAAAATTGGCTCAGAGGCCAGTAGTGTGGATTGCTCTTCTGGAGGACCTAAGTTTGGATCCCACACTGGCCACTCACAAAAGCCTGTACCTCCAGTTACAGGGTGTTTGTGGAATAGAATATTTGTTTAACTATGTAAAGATTGTTGCATTTGTTTGTATTGCAGAATAATTGTTTATGGAAGACCTGTTGCTTTTGTTTCTGCTGTATTTCTGTAACTATGTAAAAATGTGTTGCTGTTTCACCTTGCCTATCTAAGGCACCTGATTGGTTTAATAAAAAGCAGAACAGCCAATAGCTAGGCAGAAGAGGGATAGGAGGACCTGGAGGGCAGAGAGAAAGGGGGAGCCAGCCAGCCAGACATGGAGGAAACAGGAAATCAAGATGGACAGTACTTAGATGAGGTAAACAAGCCTCAGGGCAGCACAGAGATGAACAGAAATGGGTTAATTTAAGTTGGTGGAAAAAAAGAGCTAGTTAGAAGCAAGTCTAAGCTAAGGCCGGACATTCATAATTAGTAAGTCTTAGTGTTATGATTTGGGGGCTGGCAGTCCAAGCAAGCCTGCTATACCAAATCATATGTCCTTTTCTGGCTTCTGGTTACTCTCTCTCTCACTCTCTCTCTCTCTCTCTCTCTCTCTCTCTCTCTCTCTCTCTAACTCCAAAACCTTTTAGAAAATAAGAAGAATGGATGGGAGCAAAGCAATTGCTTCTCTGAGTAATGAGTGTAGACTGTACATTCTCCTGAAGCACAGAGTAGTTATGACCTGACCTCAGAATGAACCATGAAGTGGTGGCAAACATCAGAGCATCCATCAGTGAGTGCAACTCACCTTTGATCTCATTGGTGTAGGAAACTTGAAAACTTCAGGGAAATTGAAAGGACCATTTCAGAAACATGCTTCATATGCCTTCCCCTCTCTCTCTCTCTCTCTCTCTCTCTCTCTCTCTCTCTCTCTCTCTCTCTCTCTCTCACACACACACACACACACACACACAGGTATATGTGTGTTTGAGTGAAATGCTTGCAGAGGCCCACACATTGGATCCCATTGAAGCTGGAGTTACAGATGGTTATGAACTGCCTAATGTGGGCTAAGAACTGAATCTTGGCCCTTTGCAACAAGGGTGGGCAGTGTTATTCACTGAACAGCATCTCTCCAGCCCCATGATTGTCGTTAAAAATTACTTTATATGTATAAATGTTTTGCCTACATGTGTTTTATGCACCACAATCATGCCCGATGCACCTGGAGGCCAGAAGGGGATACTGGATACCCTGGAACTGGAGTTAGAGAGGGTTGCAAGCCACTGTGTGGGTGCTAGGAATCAAACCTGGTCCTCTGGAAGAGCAGCCAGTACTTTTAACTCCTGCATCATCTCTCTAGCTCCTTGAGTTTGCCATTTTAAGCACGTTCCCTTTGGAACATTCATAAAAATGGCTTCAATCCATCTTGATTTAAGGCCAGAGAGTTCACAACTTTCCTTACTCTTCCAAGGTTAAAGTCATAAGACCTAAAGGTTTAAGGTGTGGCTACTATCAGATGTTTGGTCTTGGTTGTGGATGTCTTATTTAAATAACAAGAGATATAGTGAACTGGGCAAGCCAGCTGCCAAATCCGACTGAAACCCCACAAAGACAGGTTACTATAAATTGGTACCAAACATGGGGCTACTACAGATGACCACCACACCTTCCTAGATTATTCCTGTCTTTGATCACATTAAATAGTTTGGGATTTTCTTTTACTATTGTACTTCTCACTTAATTTCCATGTCATTAGCAATTCTTTGTAAGCTCTCTACTGATGATTTAAGAGTCCACCGATCAGGTAGGTGTACAGTCCTTGCCTGCATCCTCAGAGGCGAATATCTTGTCTTCAGTTGCTGAGACTGTAGTGGTCCTGTCTGCGATGAACTCAACGGTATTTACAAGCACTTGTCCTCCCAGGATCTCAAAGTGATTTGCTCTCTAGTCAGTGAGATGAGTCAATAGCATTTTAGTTATCTTTTGCCAGGAATATTGATGTCCTGGAGATAGCAACAAGCATCCTCGGTTGCACTACCCTCCTTGTCCTGTCCTCCTACCCAGTCCTCCCTGCCCTGTCTACTCTGCTCTGCCCTCCCTGCCATCCTCCCAGTCCTCTTGTCCTTATTCTCTTCTCCCTACCCTGTTCACCCCGATCTGCCTCCCCTGCCCCAGACCTCCCTACTCAGTCCTCCCTGCCCCATCCTGTTTTCCCTCGCTGTCCTCCCTCCCCTGTCCACCTTGCTCTGTCCTCCCTAACATGTCCTCCCTACCAAGTCCTCGCTGCCCTCTCTTCCTGCCCTGTTCACTCTGTACTGTCCTCCCTGCCCTGTACTCCCTACTCAGTCCTCCTTACCCTGTCCACTCACCCTGTCTGCCTTGTCCAGTCCTCCCTGTCTTGTCCATTCTGACATGTCCTCCCTACCTTGTTCTCCCTCTCTGTCCTGTCCTCCCTGCAAAGTCCTCCTGCTCTGTCTTCCTCACCTAGTCCTTCCTGCCCCACCCTCCTGCCCTGCCTCCTTGCTAAGTCTTCCCTGCCCAGTCCTCCCTACCCTGTCCTCTCTACCCTGTCCACATAGCTCTGGGTATGATCAGGACAGTAGCCAGCAGCCTTGCCTTTAACATTTAAACTGTGTAAGAACTGTCACATGTCACAATTCACCTGGTGAGGATTGATTCTCAAACATTTCTGACTCTGGGCATGGGGCATATACAACTAGTACCTTCCTGAAATTTGTTTCTGTTGAAAAAGAGGCTTCAGTCATTGCTCTCACTCTTCCGGGGGTTTGTTTTTAATTACAAAACTGCTAAACAACTTTTTCTTTCAGAACAGCAAACAAGGTTGAATAAAAGCCTCCAGCAAGTTCAGGATTGGAGCAAAGAGCTCTAACCAACCCTGCATATCAGCAATCAAAGTGAGATGCGGGTGTGTCTTCTGTGTCGTGAGCAGTGTCTTAACTTTTACCTCATGACTGGCTCAATCTTCGGCCATGCAAAGATTCGCTGTAGTTGCTCATAAAAGCATTGGTTCATAACTAGGAGAGTAGTCTGGCTGTGTTCTGACCCTCATACCTGCCCGATTCCTATCCCTAATCCATCCGATTCCTCTCCCTCTTCTCCTTCACACCCTATCCAAGGAGGGTAGTTAGAACTGGAGGTGGGCCAGTGCTCAGTTCCCACTTTCCAAGCTTCCTGTGGTGGGAGAGCTTGGCTTCAAGGCAGGAACATGCCAGCACATTTTAATACCTCATTACTCAAAATCCCTGGGCCCATTTCTGATTGCCCTTGGCCCCAGCCCTGGGACAGGTGTGGGAACTTCACTTCTCTGAAGCTCAAAACTCTACTGCTTTGCATACCCTTGGGGAGCTGGGGCCCTAAAATAATCCTTTTCACTTCCTCCTTTATGCAGCATGCTTGGGTGGGCCACACTGGCAATCTCTGCACTTGCGAGGTGGAGGAAGGAAGATCAGGAGTTCAAGGTCAGCCTCAGCTATGTAGCAAATTCGCAGTCAATCTGTGCACGGGAGAGCCCATCACAAAACAAAAACAAAAGCCAAACAAACAACTCCCTCAAATTAATGAAGCCCCAAATAATAACATAAGAAGCTAGTGTACATAGAAAACACAGACTTATCTAGTTTAGAGAGTTCAGGGAGTGTGTACCCTTCCCTGTGCTAGGGCACACATAGGTAAGTATCGCCATTTCAAGATAAGAAGATGAGTGGCAGAGACTCTGAATCTTACAGCTGCCTAGGTGGGAGCTAGCAACTGAGACTGAACCGTTAAGACTTCACCAATGGACCAAAGGCTACTCTCATTTCTTCATGAGAAAGGTATGTGTTGAGCACTGCCTGAGTGCTGGGGTCCAGAGCCCACACTGCCTGTGTTACCTCTGCATCCAGGTACACTGGTCCACACCTAGAATGCCAGCAGTGGAGAGTGGGGACAGGAAGATGATTCCTAACTGTCTAGAGAACTTGAGCCAGCCTTGTCTACCCGAGATCCTGTCTCAAATCAACATCCTCAGGTGGAGGTGGGTGGAGATGGGGGAAAAAGAGAGTGTACTTTGTAGGTACCTGAGAGTCATTGCAAGTTGACATCCTGGAAGTGAAGCACCAAACTCAGCCTCTAATCTTGGCTTGCCTTCCAGTAGTGCACACAGCTTGTCTGGCAGGATGTACACTGCTGGGAGATTGATATGGGGACTTACCTGCCCTGCCGCCTCCTGCCACCCTGCAGTGTGATTTGGACGGGAATGCTGAAGGGCTGCATGTGGCCTGAGGCTGGCCAGAATGGATGCTTCTTGCCTGAGTTGTGCCTTTCTAGAACTCAGGAAGCTTAAGCATCATCGGAAATGGAGTCCCAGAGGGAGTTCCCAACTCCCTGCCTAGCCACAGCCACCAGGAGCTCTGGTTCCTCCAGAGCTACAAGACCTCCAGAACTTCCTAGAGAGGTGGGACTTGGGCAGTCTGGCTGGGCAAAGCAGAGCACTTAGGTACAGATGCTCATGAAGTGCCTGTGATTCTGCAGTCAACAATTCTTTCCCAGCATTGCCCGGCACCTGCCCCACCTGTCACCTGTGTTTCCTCTGAAGCCACCAGGTGCATTGCCATAGAGACCAAAGGGTTATGGAAAGTTCTGAGCCCCCAGGGAGTCACAGTAATTGGAGACAGACACACCTAATACATTGCATATAAGAAAAGGAAATGTTCTGTCCCACAGATACATTCCTTCTTTTTCAAAACTTATGTTAAGGCATAGGTGTCACACAGCAGTCTTTTCTGATTAAAAAATTAGCTTTATAAACCTGCAAGGTGTCTTGGTGGATAAAGGATCACCTGGCCAAGGCTGGGTGACCTGAGTTCCGTGCCCAGATGACAGGTAAAGGTGGGAGGAGAAAGCCAACTCCATGCACACCCCCCTCAACAATCATAACATTAATTTAATTTTAAAATTAGCTTTACAGCAGACACAATAGCATACACCTCTACTTCCAGTCAGAAGGCGAGGCAAGAGGATCAGAGTTGAGTGAGTGTGAGAATGTTCTCTACTACATGAGAGCTCTGTCTCAAAAACAAAAAGTATTAGCTTTTATATCATGACATGGTTTCCCAGAATTTCTAAGACTCATCGATGGGCTAGAGATTGGCTGTGTGGTTAACAGCACAGGCTGCTGCTTCATAAGACCCAGGTTTAATTTCCAGCACCCATCTGGTAGCTCACAACCATCTGTAACTCCAGTCTTAGGGAACCCAATACCCTCTTCTGTCCTCTGTGGACACCAGGCATGCATATGGTACAGCAACATACAGTCAGACAAAACATCCATACACATGAAATATTGTGCCTGAAGGAACAACTTAACTGAGGAAGATTTTGGTTTGGCTCAGGGGTTTCATAGGCTCAGCCTGTGGTTGCTCAGCAGGTGACGGAGATGAGGTCCTCACTTTGTGACCGGTAAGATGCAGATAAAAATCCAGAAAGTGGCCAGGAACACAAGACTCTCTCAAAATATGCCCTGGTGTCCTGCTTCCTCCAGCTCCTATAGTTCCAGAACTTTCCAAAGTAGTGACAACACCTGTAGACCAATCTCCCAACCCATGAGCCTTTGCAAGGGGTGTTTTGTATCTAAACCTTAACAGCCCTCTGTGACGCCCAGTCATTTTGGAGGAGGAATGAGAAAATGCCTCCAAAAGGCTGGCCTGTGGGTAAGTTCATAGTGCATTTTCTTAATTAGTGATCAATGTGGAAATGTCCAGCCCCTTATAGGTGGGTAGCAGTAGGTGCTCTAAGAAAGCAAGTCGACCAGGCCATGGAGGTGAACCTGTAAGCAGCCCTCCTCGGTGCCTCTGCTCCTGTGTGCAGGTTCCTGTCCTGTTTGAGTTCCTGCCCTGGCTTCCCTCAGTGATAGACTGTGATGTGGAAGTGTAAGCCAAATAAACCCTGTCCTCCCCAAGTTGGTTTTAGTCATGGCGTTTCATCACACTGTACTTGTTAGATTTCTGAGGCAGCTTAATAGACAAGAGGCAGAAAGAGACCAGACTGACCCCAGCAGGAGAGACTGTTTACTTCACAACAGCAATGGGTAGACACTCTTCTGTGGGAAAGAGGTGCCAGTGAGGAAGGAAGGAACCTTTGGAGTTTATATAGAGAATGTGGTGATTTGGGACAGGGCAATCGTAAGGGACTATGTATAAATCTTGCAGTTTTCCCTTGTCCTGGTTTTGCCTGCTCCATCCAGACAGACTACAGGTTGACCCAGGGATACAAGCTTGAGCAGGGCCAGCTATAACCTCATCCGGGTTCTATGTTTACAATTGAGACAAACTGGCAAGGCTGAGATCCAGCCCTGTGGACCGGGCAGCTGCTGGGTTTCTTACGTTATCAGTGTTAGCCAGTCACTGTTGAGCTGTAGGAGGAACGGAGGTCCTTGTGCTCACAGATAGGCACTAGCAGAATCAAGAACTTCACACACATGGGATTGTCTCTTCAAAGGGAGAGATGTGTAGCTTAGTATCTGCCCAGAAGACTGGGACTGGATGTGGTTAATAGCCTGGTGACCCTTTCAATATCTGTGTAGCCAACACCACAATACATCCTCCCCAAACCCTTAACTAGAGCTTATTTTCTCAATTAATTGACAGAATCTATTTTTATGGAAGATGTTACTTGTACTTTACAAAGAAATTTCAATGCAAGCATGTCCTAAGCTTTGTTGTACACATGGGATTGAATTAATTATAACCAGGAAATTTTTTACCAAATTGTGCTGTACTTAAATATGCCTAAAATAAACTACTCAGGGCCAGACTCTCAAAGTTTGAAGCGACACCAGCTATTGAGTTGTGACAAACCAAACTGCCCTCTTGCCCCTGCTGGATCATCACTCTGCTAGTGGTGGTGTTCCCAGAGACTCCTCTAGACTACATGGACACATCCTGGAAATCAACCTAATAAAGTCCAGGTATTTTATCAGTTCTGTTTCCTTAGAGAACCCTGATTAACTCACCAACTAAAACCTCAAAGGCCCCTTTCTTCAGTAACGTTTGTTTGAGGTTTTGTTCTAAACATGTGAATGGCTTTGAAATCCATGAGTTTTATCACTGTGTCCACAAACCTGATCTTTGATTCTGTGTAGATCAGTCACATGTTTAGGCTCCCAGTGAACTCAGCTGGCACAGTCCCATACAAGTAAATTTGGAAGAAAGCTGGAGAAGTGTTAGAGTGCTTGCCTCACATGCACAAAATCTTAGATTCAACCAATACCACATATACTAGATGAGGTGGTATGTGCCTGCAATCCCAGGGCTAAGACGGTGGAAGCATAGCATAAGGAACAACAAAGAGTTCATGGCTAGCCTTGGCTATTTGATAAATTGGAGGCCAGGCTGGGATACATGAAGTCTCAAAATACACACAAACCAAAGGCTCACTAGCAAAACAAAACAACAAAAACTATATTTCTGTATCAGAGACCAGAGACAAAAAGAGGGACTCCACCAATTCCTGCCGAAGAAAGCTCCTAGTACAAGATGGCAGGAAGCAGGCTAGCAGAGAGGGCATGGTGCTTTGAGACAAGAGGAAAATTAAAATCTCAGAGATGATAGGACAACACTAGACGCTGTGGCACATTCCCTTTATCCCAACACTCTGGAAGCAGAGGCAGAGGCAGGTAAATCTCTGTAGATGGGAGTTTTTGTCCCACTCAGTCCTGCAGCTGTTCATTCTCAAATAACATTCTCAAATAATTATAAACTGTTTGGCCAATGGCTCAGGCTTCTTACTGGCTAGCTCTCTCTTAATTACTAACCCATTTCTATTAATCGATCTGTCTCCACGTGGTCTTGGCTTACATGTGATACCTGGGTCTCTTGCTTCCTTAGCAGCTACATGGTGGCTGACTCCACCTACTACCTTTCTCTATCCCTGTTTGGATTTCCCACCTGGCTAAATCGTGCCTGTTCATTGGCCAAAACAGCTTTATTCATCAACCAAGAAGAGAAACATATATTCACAGCATACAGAAGGACATCACCCATCAAATCTCTGTGAGTTCAAGGCCAGCCTGGTCTACATAATGAGTTCCAGGACATTCGAAGCTATGGAGGGACTCAGTTAAAAAAAAAAAAAAAAAAAAAGGACAGCCAGGGAGGCCCACAGAATTCTGGGGAAAGAGTAAGTTACTCACCCCCACCCCCATCCCCCACCTCTGTCATCTGCCCTCCAGTTCAGTCAGCACTGTATTCACCATATCCTCTAGGCCTGTGGTCAGTACAGCACAACGCAGATCAAACAGTAACATTCCAGAAAGGATTTAGTGAGGACTTCTCAGCTCTCAGGATAACTGTGAGCATAAGCAGGGAAATCCCTGCCTCGTGGGATTTTTCATTCTGTGAGGAGACATGAGAAATAGAGGCCCAAACCGGGTTAACCCAAATACTTGAGTGTGCTGAAGACAGGGAAGCCAACACGGTTGGAGAAAGTCATGGGAAACTGCAAGCAAAGCATAGTGAGCTGAGAGCTTAGTGGCAAAGAAACAGCAACAGGTCAGAGAACAGGACACAAGCAGGCAGGTGGCAAAGTTTGATTGGGAAGAAGAAGCAAACCCATAGTTTCTGAAATCCCTGAATTGGGGAGGCAGAGGAAGAGAGATCAGGCCAAGGCCTGCCTGGACAATATGATAGATACCCTGTCTCAAAAGAGCCAGCCCGTGAGTACCCCACCACTAGAAGGGGGATTGCACTTAACTGGGTTTGATTCTGATGCACTCTGTCTTAATCCGTTGCTGCACCCAGCTTAAGTCTGAGTCATGTGTCTCTTTGTTCACTGCCTCAGAACCACATTGTGAATCACCATAGCCAGCTGGTAACACTTTTGATCTGCCAGCCTCTTCCTCCCACCGGGCCAGAGCAGGGGCAAGACTCATCTGCTGGCTTGGGTTGGTCACAGACTTGGGGGTTGTGTGGAGTGTGCAGCAGGCTTGTCAGTCTCTGTGCGTCTCAACTCCCTCCCCTGGGGATGGCAGAGTCACAACCTGTGTGGGGAGTTATTAAAGGGATTTATGGAAGAACTTTGTAGAAGCATCAAACAGTGAATGCTAGGAACAAGATGAATTAAAGAGAGTCCCACCTCAGTCTCCACCCCTCACCTCACAAAAGAGGCCAGATTCCTTTTCCACCCTGCACACTGTGCATCTCCTTTGACCAAAGCTTAAGGACAATTGTAATGATGAAATAAATTTGATCTACTTTCCAGAGCCTCATCTATGATTT